CACCAATTCCACTCCTGGGAATATACCCCAAGGTCCCAAAAGCACAATGCAGAAAATACATCTGCACTCCTATTTTCACTGCAGTAGCACTGCACTGTAGCACTGTTCTCCCATTGTTCATCGATTTACTCGAGCAGGCATCAGTAACGTCTCCACTGTGAGGCTTGTTACTGTTTTTAGCATATTGAATATGCCACAGGGAGCTTGCCAGGCTCTGCCATGCGTGCGGGATACTCTCGGCAGCTTGTTGGTCTCTCCTAGAGGGATGGAGGAATCGAACCTGGGTTGGCCGCATGCAAGGCAAACACCCTACCGATTGTACAACTATATACAATAGCCAAAATATGGAAACAACCCAATTCCCACAAACAGATGACTGTATATAAAGAAACTATGGTACATATACAAAATGGAATATGATTCATCTGTAAGCAAAGAGAAAGTCAAGAAATTTGCTGCAACATGGATGGATCTGGAGAGTAACATGCTGAATGAAACCAGAGGGAGAGGGATAAACTCAGAATGAACTTTCTCATATGTGGAATATAAAGAAACCAGTTAGGGGAATACCAAATGCCAAATGATAATAGAAGCAAAGAACAGGAGGACTGGTCTCTAGTAGGGAGCTTGCCACCGAGCTGGATAAGGGGGATAAGTAAGGGAAGAGAGCACTTGGACAAGGGAAGTTCCTGCCACAGAGGCAGGCTGGGGGGTGGAAGGAAAACTGGGATATTGGTGGAGGGTCATAAGCACTGGTGAAGGGACTGGTGCTGAAACAGTATAAACCTGAAAATCATAAATCACCTTTCTAACTTTGGAATTCATGGTGATTCCATTAAAACGGAAAGAAAAATCTCCTCAGGATAGTCCAGATGAGTTTGCAACTGTTACATGTTCTAAAAGCATCTTGTACTTTTTCTGACTAAATTATAACCATGTAGTGACTGTTACTTTGAATTTAGCGACGAAAAACTATTTCATTTTGTAAGGCATCTGTCTCCACCCCTACTCAAGTGAATTATAAATTCTATGAGGGCTGGGATGATATAAGCCTTGCTTTCCCCACCCATAGCATAGGTCCATGGCTGCTTTGCATAAACCATTGCTATAAGCCTGTTCAATGAATAGGTGGATCAGTATGTTTTTGCTATTCATACTGGGCACATGTATTGAGATAGAGATAGAAAGCAGCTACGTAAAAACAATTCTCTCAGCAATAAAGATCTAACTCTGCCTCATCTATAATTAAGCACCTAATAAGCTTGATGATATTGGTTGATTGTTCAAGGAAAGAATGAGGGTAATAACACCGCTTGGCAGGTTATGAAAATTACTGCTTAGGACTTAACAATGCTATTAACTTGCTCCTAAATTTTCCCACTACTGTGAAAATGCTTTCATATATACCCATGTGTTTAAAGTGGGCACTGTGGTGTCAGCATCATTGTTTCACAAAGGCAGATGCGGAAAAAGCAGTGGCAAAAGCAGAACAAGGCCTTGTGTCTCCACCTGGGGCATGCTCACTTCGGTCTCCCCTCTGCAGGGAATTCACCTCTTGATACTTCATCTATAAGGCAGGGGCTTAGTAAGAATGGTTACTAGGTCTCTATACTTTTCTTTTGAATAGGGGTTGGAGAGGGAACACCCGGTGGTGCTCAGGGTTTCTTCTTGGCTCTGCACTCAGGGATCACTCCAGGCAGGACGTGGGGAACCATTTATGGTGCTGGGATCAAACCTGGGTTAATCTCATGCAAGGCAAGTGCACTATCCACTGTACTATCTCTCCTTCCCTTAGTCAAAATATTTTTTAGATCTTCCAGCCTACAATTTTGTGTTTAATTTCTTAGGCTTCCTGCAAGTAAAGACAAATGATTATAATCCAAAATTGTCTTCCTGCATGTCTTCCTGACAATTCTCAGGGCACCTTCCAATGGATTTAAATAAGACAGTCAATGTCTATGCCCATATTCTCTGTCCAGTGCTTCAGTGATCACTCCAACTCTCTCCTGAGTTCCAGATGTACACAGCCAACTGCATAGTATACAGAAAATGTCTGATTTCTGAATTTCTCCCTTTCCCTTCAGGTCCACATGTCCTAAAGTCATTTGTACTGCCTCATGTAGCCACTCTCTTAGTTATCACTACTATAACACAGACATGGCAATCAGCTCTTTGAAGATGCACTTTACGGGTCACCTCAATGCTTAGCCTAAATTATTTACTCCATCCAATACTGTTTTCTTTCTTGTCACCTCTACAGAGCAATGACATGTTCCTTAACCCCAGGTTTACTAATTTTGGGGGATGGGGTTAGAGCCACACCCAGTGGTGCTCTGAGGACGTTCTGGACTTTGAGCTTAGCGGTCACTCCTGAGCATGCTTGAGGAACCATATGTGGTACCAAGGACTGAACCAGGATGGCTGCATACAAAACAAGTGTCTTACCTCCTATATTATCTCTGGTGGATACTAATCCCTAATTTCAATGCCATTTTCTTATGTCACCTTCCTTCATCCACGAACAGCTCAGACCAATCCTCCTACTCAGTAAGCTAAGTATTCATTTAAATATTCTCACTCTTCCTAGACTGTGTCCAAGTTTTTCAGCATTTAAAACAGGCCTAGCAGAGGGGAAGCATCTAACAAGTATTTGCTGAATTGAACTAAATAGGGATTCTAATTTCTTCTATCAGGAGGAGTCCCAAGCATCACAGACTCATCTCAAGTCAACAGAATACAACTGTTCCTGCAGTTATGGTGTGATTACCATGAGAAATCCCCGAATAACATTGTATATGACTGTCATACTGTATCTTACTTTACAGTAAGTTAGATAGATGGAAGATTCCTTTCTTGTGGGTATGAAGTACAGGGAAGCCTCTTCCACTGACTCATTTTTATGGTACAGTAAGAAACACATGCTGATTTGGAATAATTTGGGTGCCAAAAATGCCAAAAATGTGGAACTTTGTGGATATGGACAAATTAATGGGAAGAGTAAGAAAAATGAAGAATGGCTAAATATTGTCTAGATTAGAACCCTAGACATGGAAACAGGAACATCTGAATTCTGAATTCTGATGCTAATTTTCATTGTTTTAAAAATGTGACATAATATACAAAATATAAAGTCTACCCCTTTAAGTGTAGTGTTCAGCAGCATCAAATATATTTACTTTGTTTTGTAACACCAACAAGCATCTGCAGAACAAAACCAATAGTAACACCAACCATCTGGGAAACATTTACGAACTCAACTCCACAGCCCTAAAATGATCACTCCCCATCTCTCCCTCATTCACAGCCTCTGCAAACACCATTTTACTTGCTGTCCTTGTGAGGTATCTTGTGTAAGTAGAATCATACCTGTGTTCCCTTGTATTTGGTTTTCATTAAGCATGTCTTCAAGATTCGTCCATGTATTCGAATTTCCTTCCTTTTGTGGCTCAACAGAATTCTACTATATGTATATATAACATTTTATTACTTGTTGATGAACATTTGAGTTGCTTCCACCCTTTCAGTACTGTGTATGTTCTCAGTACTGAGAATACAGGTGTACAAATACCTGCTTAAGTATCTGCTTTCAATTCTTCTGGATAATGTAGCACTGCACTGTCCTCCCATTGCTCATCGATTTGCTTGAGCAGGCACCAGTAATGTCTCCACCGTGAGACTTGTTGTTACTGGTTTTGGAATATCAAATACGCCACAGGGAGCTTGCCAGGCTCTGCCGTGTGAGCAGGATACTCTTGGTAGCTTGCTGGGCTCTCCGAGAGGCATACAAAATAACATACCAGTAAGAATTAGTAGATGTAAAAATAAGTAAATAAAAGGTAAAAAAGAATAAAAAATGGCGCGTCCATGTGTAGTTTGATGTTGGCTATTTTGAAGAATTGCCTACCATCCTGTTTGTCACAGTGGCCATCCCATTTTCCTTTCCCATGAATGATGTCTAAGGATATAATTAACTTGTTTAACATGCTAATTTTTCTTACTTAGAGAGCCAAGCTATTTTTAGCATCTTTATTCCTCCGTATGGATAACAGATGATCACATAGTGGTATTATTATTATTAATATTATTATTATTATTTGAAGCAAACTAGTTCTCACTGAAAGAAATTTAGAGAGATGTAGAGAGAGAAAAACACAGAGAGAAATGTATTCAAGAGAGAACACAGGCATCTCCAGAGTGGGAAAAGCCCATGATTTTATTAACTAATATCATATAGAATGGATCCAATTTATATGCTTTCTTGTTTTCAGAATAGAGGCATCCAATCTCTGTTTCTTCCTCACTTCAAAATAATACCTCCCTCCAGCACGATACCTTAAACACAGGCAAAAATGTCTTTCAACACAGTAAAGTACATTGCAAATGAATCTTGGGTTTGGGTCTTGGTTGCATATTGATAATGTGGAAGCAAAAGAGATTTGCAAAGCTTAGAAACATCTACCTTCAAAGGCTCCTTCAACCTGTACCTGGGACATTAACCATGAAACTGTCAATACCATAACAAACTTGGAGGGCCACTGAATTCTTCCAGCAGTGGGTGGGTCCCGATTGTGTGAAACAGGAGCATCTCTTCACCCAACACTAAAGTCACAAGTGCTAGAAACAAGACCTCACTTCACAGAAGTCAGAATTCTTTGAAAGTGCAAAATTAAGCAGAACAACGTCTAATGAAGTCGGGTTCTCAAAGGATACCCACAATAATTTGGATTGTTCCCTTTCTATCAATAAATAAAAGAAATGGCTTCATGTGAAGACCTGTTACATTTGATATTGAGCAAACAAAGCTATCAACTTTTCTATCAAATTGCTATCACAATTGGCCCAGAAACCACAGTTGCCTAAGAGAAGAAAACAGCCCGAGAGGACTCCAGTTCTTTGATTTTACAGATTAACACACACTTTCCTGTTAAGAGTCGGTAGCTTATTGGTGGAAAAAAACAAGGTGGTGTGCACTAGGTTAAAAGTCAGGGAGACAGACTTACCGACCGTAGGATCCCGGTAGCATCTTCGTGCAGCCATGTGGGGTACACCACTTCATCGTTGAGAATGGCTTCAAAGAGGTCATCTTCGTTCTCTGCCTCAAAGGGAGCATGGCCACACAGCATCTCATAGAGCAGCACACCCATTGCCCACCAGTCTACTGCGGGTCCATAGAGCATCTCCTGGAGAATCTGTGCAAATGGGCAAGGGGAGGAATGCATTTTACTTATGACTGATGGATTCCTTGATGCCCCAGGGAAGTGATGGGTTAGCAAATGAAACAAAAGGGGGAGACTTTTTAGAGCTTTCTGCACTATCTGGGATGCTTCATTCCACCTCCAGAGAGTTGTCTGTTTTCCATGGGGCTACCTCAGAGGCTGCCATATCAATGGCCCCCTTTTATGGCCTGCTGAGGCAATACCAAGTGTATATCTGAAATGGAAGGGGTATGGCATGGGGTTCACTAGCTTGCATAGTAAAAGGTCAAGAGCCCTTCTTTCCTTCTGGTACAGGGGACTAGGATAAAAGCAGAGTAAAGGCAAAGAGGAAAAACAAGAAACTGTGAGAAATACTTTGTCCTCCTTCAAGGCCAAGTCCTTAAGTAACTGTAAGTTCTATTGAAATTTAAAAAAACCCGTATTTTTAGTTTTAATTCAAATTCCTAGTTGAGCGTAGGGCACCGTGAGTCATCATTCACCCAAAAAGTCTTTAAGAAGTGTAGAGGCATCGATCTCAAGAATGCCTAAAAAGTGTGGCAAATGTGGGACCAGTGAGATATCTTAAAGGGCTGGAGCACAAGCTTTGCCTGCAGAAGTCCTTCTCTGCCCTCTGAAATCACATGATCCCATGAGCACCAGAAGTGGTCCTACACATCCCCAAACATGGTGCATAAACTAAGTACTGACAAATAATGCAGCCTATGGCAATTCTGGCAAGGGTGACTACAGAGCTCAAATTTCCAAAGAGGCAAAACAGGTACACTCACCTCTGGAGCAATATAGTCAGGCGTGCCACAAAAAGTTGCCGTGGTGACTCCATTACAGATCCCCTCCTTGCACATTCCAAAGTCAGCCAGTTTGCAGTGACCTTCATGGTCCAACAGCACATTGTCGAGTTTCAGGTCTCTGAAAGAAACAAAGAATTGCATATGGTAAGTGAGCCAGGCTCCAAATCCTCCTCTGGGACAAGCTGACCCAGGCAAAGAGTGATCAGGCCATACAGAGAGCTCCTCCGGGGCCAAGGGGACTTCCTGCAGGCTCTCCAGGTTATCTGGATGGGCCTCATGGATCCTCGATGCAGTTTCACATAATGGGTGTAACCACATAAAATACTGGAGGCTCTGCTTAGAAACTGGGAAGAGAAAGTGACTTTTTCAGGCTTCCTATGTATCCTGGACCCATCCTGTGTCTGATTCTCCCTTTAAACATTTATCTCTGTCCACTGGAGTTCACTTAGTGAACATTCACGAGGCAGTGACCACTGTGTGCCACGGACTAAGTTATACATCAAGAGGACAGATGATTGTCCCTAAGGAACCCAGAGCAATAGGGAGATAAGTGTTGGCTAAGAATTTAAGCTTCATGACTGGGGGAGCAAGATGATCTTTTGGGCCAAATATAGTGAAATCAATAAATATGTGTTCAACATACATACATGCATATAACTACACACACATGCAAACAAACACAGAACCAACTATTGAATGACAGATGGCATGGCAAAAGTGCTGTGAGAGAAACAGATGGGGAATAATTCCTTCCAGTGAGAGGGACAGTCCCATGGGAGACGTTAAAATTAAATTGGGACTTAAAACATTAGTAGAGTCTTCCAGAAGGTGAAGGGGATATTTACCTAAAGATCAATGAGAGCAGAGGATGGAGCTGAGACAGAGCCAGGTAAAGGGATGTGAAGAACAAGTAAACTCAGGAACCCTCCCTCCCACTCCCCACCCCACCCCCACCCCACTGCCTATGATATAATGAGGCTGAAGAAAAAGGAATAAAGATAGGTTCAGACTAGGAAAGGCCACCTTCAGGAATTTTGGTACTTTACTTGGGCAAAATGGATCTAGTGAAGTTATCTAATTAAGAGAGTAAAAGGACCCCAGCTGAATAGGAAGAAAAATGTAAACCACTTAGAGTCAATTAGAATGGCTCAGAAATGTTTCGAAGTTGAAATAAGAAAGGAACAAAATGGAATGGAAAATGATAGTTCAGTTGGCTTTGGTGAAAATCAGTCACAAGGCATTTGATGCCCATGTAGAGGCAGATGTGGAGAGGAAGAAGAAATGGTGGTGTTGTGTTAGTGGGCAAATTAACAAGCAAGAAGAAGGAAAACAGGAGTATGAGAACAGGGCTCGCGTGGGTGACCAACCAGATACAGGAGCTTTAGGAGGTTCAGTGGAGCACAATGATCCCACGAGAAAAGCAATTTTCATCTCTCCCCTCAATCCCCAGTTGGAGAATCACTTGTGGAAAGAGAATTTCCAGCAGCAAAACACTTTGGTAAAAAAAAAAAAAAGGTTCCAAAACAGGGAGAAAAAAGGGTTCCAAAGCAGGGATATTGATAACCTATCAGCAAACAAAAGGGGGAATTTTGGTACTTTACTTGGTCTCCTAATATACCAGCCTACTTACCAAGGCCTTGGAGCATTTGGTCCTCCCACTCATGCACATCTGGGCCCTAGTGCAACCCCCATCACCACAGTGGGCTGCAAACAAGTCCTAAGAACCACATCTGTCAGCCCCCAGATTCATCCTGGGGAGCACAGAATCACATCCTTGTCCAGGGGTGATACCTTCACACTTGGCTTTTTTAAGGGGCCATATACTCACAGGCAAATCACATGGACTTATGGGAAGAGGCAGCTATGCACAGTGGAGGAACTGCAGGTGATTTCCCCGATTTGGACTTAAAGACAATTGCCAGTGCCAGTATGTGACCCCAGGCTGTGCTGTGGGTACCATGGCATCCCTGCACTGTGACATCTTCATGGTGGCAGCAGCTGGTGGCGTGGGAGATCACCACAGCTGTGACGGGTAGTGGCTGGCACCCTCATGACTCCATTTTCCTGCCCTTGCTCTGAGAATAAAGGTCTGTGAACCAGCGTGACCCAAGGAAAAAGGCTGGTCTCTCCTGAGGAAGGTCACAGTGCAGCTCGAGAGGCAAGCGATGACAGAACTGGAGCAGCCAGTTTCCACGCTGGGCTCTGTGACCTGACATGGCCATGCAGGTCTCATAGCGGGAGGTCACTGGGAGACAGTGAGGAATGGAAACTCAGCCCTGTTTTCCAGGAATCCCCAGTAAGTAAGAGACGCTCAAGCAGTAGCATTTTCTTGTCCCGCAGGGATGGAACCACAGAGCTCCTCTCTGCTTTGAAACTCCAGGACGGTGGTCCTGGTGGAGTGGGGACAGGCACAAGGGCACCGGTCCAGCTGCTGCAGACACCAAGCCCTCCTTACCTTTGAACCCTCCCTGGCCTGGACCCCCATCATCACCCTGCCTTGTCCATGGCAAATCCTGACTCAGCCACAGGAAGGAAGGTGGACTCAGGAGGGAGGCCCACATGGGAGAGGACTGCCAGGAGCTCAGGCCCTGTGACTTGGGAGCTGATAGGGGTCTCCCAAATGTGAAGCTCACCCGCAGCGACCTCACACTCAGGAGACCCTTATCAGCGCCTGGGAGTCTGGCTCCCCTGGGACTGAAGGCAAACATGAAAGGCGGCTGGCCGGCCAGGGGAGAGATTAGAGGCTGCAGCCTAGAGCTAGTAAGGCTGGGGCCAGGGCGCCGGCGGGGAGGAACATGACTGAATCTGGGTGCTGGCTTTATCAGCACAAGTTCTAGCCCAGTGAGCCAGGCTTGTGTGGACCTGTGCCCAGAGCACTCTGACTCTCACATTTCCAAACAAGGTTACTGAGTTTCTGGTTTCTCCCCAAGCCGTTAGTTATTGCCTGCAAAGAGCTCAGAAGGGATTTTCTTAGGTAACAGAAACAAGTGCTAACAGAAACCCACAGAGGTCTGAAGAGATGACCTGTGATTGCTCAGCAGAGCCTGGAAGTACCATTCCAGGTTCAATTGCTTATTACTAAGCGGCAGGCATGAGAAGCAAGAGCTGTCCCGGAGGCAGGAGTGCCTCGCCATCACTTTTATCATCTGCCCTTTGCACAGAGGATCCTGGGCTCCACGCCCCAGTGCTCAGAGTAGAAAGCAGCAATACAAGAGGCCACAACTCATCCTGGTCCCAGGATACCTGAGGGCACCGAGGCAAGTGAGTTGGCTATAAGCTGCCATCTCTAAGTGCAGGCCCTCTCACTGCTGCATGAGCGGGGGAAATGCCCTTGGCTCGTTCACATCAGGATGGATCTCTGACCCGGGGATCCCAAAGGGGTTTGATTAAATGCATGCTCTCATCCCCAGGTGTCCCCCACCATGCAGTCTCCTGATGCCTAGCTAAGCAGTATCTTCACCTCTAGACCAGCATTTCTCAACCTTTCCCCCACTTGTTTCCTTTCTTTGCACCCCCTTCACCCATCCTACCAGTCGGTAACCTGGTCTCATGCGATGCCCCCCACCCTGCCCCACTTTTTAATGCAATTTTTACCTGTGGCCTCCTTGGAATGTCCTGGGGAGGGGGGCATAGGGGGTTCCTATGGCCTCTGGTTGAGAAATGCTGTTCAACACTACCCAGTTTCCACCTCAATCACAACACATCCTGCGCCGTATTCCAGAATGATCCATCTCTGCAGCCAGCCGCCCCCCACCCCTCACCCGCGCAGCTGGGGTAAAGCCTTACTCCTTTCCTCATGCCAGCTTGGTCCTGGAGGATGGTGCAGACCAACGAGATAAGGAAAGAGCCTCTTAGACAGGCACCTGCAAGCTGCCCAGCCCACTCTGAGTCTGTCCTATTTTTAGAAGGAAGTTAGTTCCATAAAATCCCATTTGGACTAATGTTCCAGAGTAATTAAACTATAAAACAAGTCATGTGGCCTTACTCCTTAGAGACAGACTCCAGAGGAAAATGAGGAATGAGAAAATAAATGTAAAATTTCTGCTCCAGTAATGGAGAAGAGAGAGTGCTGGAGGAGGGGCCATTATAAAGCAGAGTGGACCACAGCATAATCCTCTCTCTGGCCAGCATCCAGATGGCAGAAGACACCAAGAGGGCTAGTCAAACAGACCCAAAGGTTACAGAGCCGTTTATGGCCATGGCCAGCTTCTATTCCAAGGGCAAATCATTATCTTTGTTAAAAATAAGCAAAAGAAAAAATAAAAAAGATTTTGAGTCATCCCTGTGACTCCCAGCCTTAATTTGAAATATGTAGAGGTCAGGATTTGGCTTTGGGAGTTTCTCCGCTTCCTCTGCCAATGTGTAACTCAACAGCCAAACTCAACAAGGCTACACAATGAAGATTACAAGTTCATACAGGGTAGAGGCTCAGAATCCTAAATGCCAAGTGCACAATTATGGGCTCATCACTCATTAGCTCACAGAGTTTTTGTCATGCAAGCATAGAAAGGTAAAAGAGTAACTGTATTCTCTTTGGTTGCCTGAAAGATACATTGTTCTTGCTGGGTAGTCAGGGATCCTAAAATGCCGACAGCACTTTCAGAGATCATTCCTAAGTAGTTGAGGACAAAGGAAATTCAGAAATTATATTTATGTTGTTTCTACCATGAGCTATTCCAAGAAAAAGAGGCTGAATAAGAAGGTTTACAACTAGATCACTGGAATCAATTCCCCTTCCAAAAGAAATAAAGGCAAATTGTTGAGAGCTGGGTTCTTGAACAAACCCAAGAGACTATTCAAGAATGATTTTTTATGCATTTAAAGAACAAAGAATCATGGACAATTTCAAGTATATACAAAAGTATACAAGATATGACCCTTAGCCCAGTGACACTCATGTGTGTCCAAATCTTATTTCAGCTATATGTTTACTCCCGTGCTCTTTTCCAAGATATAAAGCCATCTTACCTATATTTTAATATTTGAATCTAAATGACAACAATTCTTATTTATGTATTTTTTGGTTTTGGTTCACTCCTGGCAGTGTTCAGGGATCACTTCTGGAGGTCCTGGAGGGACCATAAGTGGTGCCAGGGTTTGAACCTGGTAGGCTTCATG